CGACGCAGCCAAGGCTGCCGCGGAGGGTTAAGGCTTTGTCCCCGCTCCGCAGTCTCTGGCGAACAAGAGCCCTCTCTGAGCCTTAGTCTCCCGTGGGTAAGACAGGGTTGACACAGGGCCTTTCAGGAAGATGAAATGAAGTGAGGGTAATCTATGAGCTCGCACCATGCAAATGCTAACTCTGGGCCAGGATTATTATCGATGACTTTACTGTCTCGTCTATGGGTGTTTATATTGTTAACACGTTCTTCCCTGGGCCTGCAGTAGTACGTGACATATAGCTGTTGCTGGAGCCAGGGTGGTGATGCTAAGGTTCTGACTCAGCGACCCTGTGTGCAACAGAAAGACACCCTGCTGGTCCTGCACCATCCTCGCAATTATGTTTGAGCACATTGCTACAGCCTCTGTGTCCATGCAACTTGTTGAGAGCCTTCCTCTTTTTCTCTATCCCCACGCTTTCCCAAGCGTAAAGTCCTGCTCCAGGGACTAGTTCACAATAGATAGACAAAGTTTCACTATCTTATCTTCTAAGGTGCAAGGTACCTGTACTTCTTCCAAGATAGATATGTTCATTCTTCTGGCAGTCCATGGTATAGTCAATATTCTTTACCACAATCCAAAGGCATCCATCCATCATTGTTCAGCTTTTGCATGCCTGTGAGATGTATGCATGCTTGCGTGCCTATGAAAATACCATGGCTCCTGTCAGGTGCACCTAAGCCCTGAAAGTGACATCTTTGCTCTTTAACACTTAAAGAGGCCTTTTGCAGCAGATTTGCCCAATGCAGTAAGTGCATCATTTTATTTTTGAGTGCTGATCCAAGTAAAGTGAAATCCTCGACAACTTCAGAGAGAAGGAGCCCCGGTGGCTCGTCAGTACTCCAACGCAGGTGTCACTCTGCAGGAGAAAGATGTGACAGTCAACTTCTGTGAAGGTCTACAGCCTTGGAAACTCATTTTGGGCCTACAGGGATGAGTTGGCTGGTACACACAAAGAAAGTAAGGTCCAAGTGTCGAAGTCAGTGTCCCAGGCATGTAGTACTCTGATCAACAAGTCCTCTGACCCACAAGTCCCAGTCATGTAGTCCTCTGACCCACAAGGACCCAGGAGAACCCAGGAACCCACCCTCTGACTTAGGATTCTTGGCCAAGGGGGATCTAAGCCTCCAGACCCTGGCCTAGCCTGGGAGTGGGTTGGGGGAGCAGAATATGTATGTATACATGCTTCTCTGTATATTGCCCTCAGATTGTCCTGCACAGCCTGGAACAGAAGTGTTTAAGCACTTCCCGAGCAGAGACAGTGGCACAGCTGAGGAACAGAGATCCTCAAGTGTCCAGCATGGGTGACCGGCAGTGGTTGTACCAGACGTGTACTGAGTTTGGCTTCTGTGAGTGATTGGCCCAATCGCCAGTCCCAAAATATGAATATGTGTGGTGTATGCCGCCCAGATGTGGGCCATGATCATTTCCATGGGAAACTGAGTCAGATTCCTGCAGGGATGAGTTGGCTGGTACACACAAAGAAAGTAACCTGCTGTTATGGCCCACTGGAGGGCAGATAGCAACTGTGTGTGTGTGTGTTAGTGTGTGTGTGCTTGCTTGCTTGACCTTCCCCTGCCTTCTGACACATTCACATCTCAACATGCATAATCTCCCCTTCAATCTGCTTCCTCTACATCTCCCCTCCATCCCAGGGATGGCCCCACCCTGGCGCCAGTCACCAGACTAAATAGCACAGTGTTATTTTGGATGCCTCCTCCTTGTACCCCTGTCACTTGTCATTTACTGAATGCCCCTTGCCAAGTAATTCTCCAGACCTCACCTTCCCCTCCCTATTCCCACAGGGAATAGCCCTTGCGCTCATGCTCATCCTTGGCTGCCTTGGTCCCTGCCTCTGTCTGCACTCTGTTTTCACTTCAACCCCTCCAACCCACCTTCTGCGGGACTTCGAGGGGTCTTCCTGAATACTACCTTGTTCCTTCTTGCCGAAAACAACACGTAGGTTTTTAATACAAGCATGTTTCAAATATTACGCTGGCATACTTTCCTTTAAAACGTCTAATTCTTGTTTATCTGAAATTTAATTTTAATTGAACATCCTGTGTTTTTGTTGGCTATAGCTGGCCACTCTAAGGTCAAAATCCCCTAGATTCAATGAGATTAATGGCTCTGGGGGATTTCAAAGCCAAGGCTTTACCATTCCTCGCTGTGTGGCCACGGGAAAACTTACAAATGACTTCTTGTTCCTCTACCTCAGTTTCCGTGTCTGTAAAATGGGGATAAATTGCAGTGCTTCTTTCATACGGTTGTGTGGGGATTAAAGAAATGTATGTATATAGTGTTTATAATAGTGTGGATTAGATTAAGTAGTTCATATATGCTTGATCTTGTTTTTATATTAAGCTTTACATATTTTAACATGCTAATAAGTCATTCTTCCTCGTGTTTCGGGGACTTTTCTCTCTTTATTTGGATTACTCCTCATTTTCAATTCTCAATACAAGATGCCCTCTCCTAGGAAGGGTTCCTTGATCCTTCAGTCACACACACACACACACACACACACACTCTTCATCCTTCTTCTCAGTACTTTCCACAGTTTGTCAACGTACATTCTTTGTCACCTTTCTCTCTTGTGGACTGACTTCCTCTGACAGCAAAGCCTAAAGTTGCCTCGCTTGACACCGTGTGCCCAATATTGCCAGACATCTGGCTGAGCGCATAGTAGGTGCTCCACAAAAGGGGAAGGAAAGAATGAATGGGAGGCACGGAGGTTAGATGTATCCTGAGAGTACATGTCAGCTATGGACTTTAAGCAGGGGAGATGTGACGTGATTTGTGCTTCCTGTAATCCAGTCTCCCTCTCCCTTTCAGACTTCCCCACATGCTCTTACTTCTACAAATTATGCTTTTCCTCCGCTCTGTCATTGCTTGGCTTACTCCTCATTTTAAGATGCCTTCCTGAATCCCTTATGCTTCCTCTGCATTTCCTGACCCCTGACCTTACCCCATCACAGCACTGGCCACCATGGGCTGTCACTGACTGGGGGCTGGGTGGTGGTGGTGTGATGTCTGTCTCTCTCTCTTAATGGACTGTGAGGTCATTGTAATGAGGGGCAGGGTGTTTCTTGATCATAATTTGGGAGAACTCTGTAAATTATGATTAAAGGAGAGGTGGAGGGAGAGCTAGCATGTCCCGTGCACTTACAGAGATCTCCCTGGACAGATATCACCTGTGCGGGCCCTGGATGTCCTTTCTCCCAGCTCCCAACGCTGCCCTCCCAGCTCAGTCTATGTGAGCAGGTGTTTGGCCTCTCCATTTCCTCAGTATCCCAGGCTGTGGACCAGACAAATTACTACTATGGCGGCCAGATCCCGAGGGCTACCCACGTGCTTTTCGTTAATGGTGAGCATGCCACCCAGGACCTGGTTTTTAAAGCTCCACCCAGCCCCAGCTCAACACTCTGTCCTTGCCTTCTCAGGGGACTCAGACCCCTGGCATGTGCTCAGTGTCACACAGTCTTTGGGGCCCTTGGAGTCAGCCCTTCTCATTCCCAATGCCTCCCACTGCTTGGACATGGCACCCGAGAGCTCCTCAGACGCCCCCAGCCTCCGCCTAGCCCGCCAGG